GGAATCATTGTAATCAAATTTCGTCACTATAATGTTTATAACTTTTCATAAAATCATCCAATTTTGATACAGTTTTCAGTTTAAGAATATTTAAAAAAACTATTTCTTATGTTAAAAGACAGATATATATCATAGTTAGCCCTCAACGCTATAACTCAAACAGAGTTTTGAACTTTTCGCATGCTTATTTGTATTAAAAAACTTTGCTTCATTTAAAAAAAAAAAAAATCATTAAACATGACAATCGCAGTTACATTAAGTTTTCAGTAAATTGTAAAAAATTAAATAAACTTTATTGAAAAATATAATAATATTATATTGGAAATTTTAGTATTATTTATTAAGATATTAGTATTATTTATTATTTACTAAATTATAAAATTTAAAATTTATAAATTATAAAATTATTAAAATTATAATATTTAAATATTATAATATTTACTTTTTAAATATATATATATATATATATATATATATATATTTATATATATATATATATATATATATATATATGTATATATATATATATATATATATATATATATTTATGTATATATATATATATATATATATATATATATATATATATATATATATATATATATATATATAATATATATATATATATATATATATATATATAAATATATATAATGTGGAGTGGTTATGTATATATTTTGTATTTTTGGTTTGTCTACCAAAAATAAAAAATATTTAACAAACTCAGATAACCTTTGTCAGTTGTATATCATACACGAAGTATAATAATTTTTTAAATAATAGTTGTATATCATACAAGAAATGTAATAATTTATATAATAAGCTATAGGTATGTGTGTAAAAATTTCAAATTGTTTAAATACCAGATTGGTATATATCATAACTTATGATATATGGTTAGCCCTTTACGCTATAACTCAAACTGAGTTTTTTTATATTTATGAAAAATGCAGACCTGGAGACCTGGAGTGTATGATATACAACTGAGGTCTCCAGGTCTGCGTTTTTCATAAATATAAAAAAACTCAGTTTGAGTTATAGCGTAGAGGGCTAACCATATATCATAAGTTATGATATATACCAATCTGGTATTTAAACAGGTCTCCAGGTCTGCGTTTTTCATAAATATAAAAAAACTCAGTTTGAGTTATAGCGTAGAGGGCTAACCATATATCATAAGTTATGATATATACCAATCTGGTATTTAAACAATTTGAAATTTTTACACACATACCTATAGCTTATTATATAAATTATTACATTTCTTGTATGATATACAACTATTATTTAAAAAATTATTATACTTCGTGTATGATATACAACTGACAAAGGTTATCTGAGTTTGTTAAATATTTTTTAGTTTTGGTAGACAAACCAAATATATATATATATATATATATATATATATATATATATATATATATATATATATATATATATATATATAAATATATATTTATATATATATAAATATATATATATATATATATAAATATATATATATATATATATATATATATATATATATATATATAAATATATATATAAGTATATATATATATATATATATATAATATATATATATATATATATATATATATATATAAATATATATATATATATATATATATATATATATATATATATATATATAATGTGGAGTGGTTATGTATATATATATATATATATATATATATATATATATATATATATATATATATATATATATATAATGTGGAGTGGTTATGTATATATATATATGTATATATATATATATATATATATATATATATAAATATACATATAAATATATATATATATATATATATATATATATATATATATATATATATATATATATATATCCTCCTTATATATATATATATATATATATATATTATATATATATATATATATATATATATATATATATATAATATCCTCCTTATAAATATATATATATATATATATATATATATATATATATATATATATATCCTCCTTATATATATATATATATATATATATATATATATATATATATATATATATATATATATATAATATATATATATATATATATATCCTCCTTATTCAAGCAAAAATAACATTTTGTATTAACAATACTAAATACTAGACCCTAACGATGTATACAATTACCGACATTTTAAGAACCGAATTGCTGATATTTTTAAATTATTTCGCGTTTTCAAAACATTACGTTTCTTAAAACCGACCAATCATAGAGATATATTTATGATTAGGAAAGTATATTAACTGTATGATTATGTTGTTGTCATTAACTGCATAATAACTTCACAACTGACAAATTTTAAATTTTTCAATAAAGATATTATTTGGACAAGACCCGATTCTCGAAATAAAGTAAACCTTTATCTATAAACAATAATATCTTACAATGATTGCTAACCGTTTCAGAGCGCTTTATTACACGGATTTGTATGAGCATGCTTGGCATCTTAGAAAATTCACTTTTTGACCATGCGATGGATTATCCTTGTTTCTGTTGATATCTGTTTAATCAGTAATAAGACCAAAAACTTTGCTTCATCAACTTAATTAGTATTAAATAATAATTTTTAATTAAAAGACGATTGTGACTCTTAAAGACTATGCTCTATTTCAAGAGGTCAAGCTCTTAATAAAGTTACTGTTGTATATATATCTTGCATCTTATATATATATATATATATATATATATATATAAATATATATTTATATATATATATATTTATATAATATATATTTATATAATATAATAAATATATAAATATATATTTATATATATATATATATATATACATATATATATATATTTATATATATAAATATATAAATATATATATATATATACATATATGTACATATATATATATAAATATATATATATATATATAAATATATATATATATATATATAAATATATATATATATACATATATGTACATATATATATATAAATATATATATATATATATATATATATATATATATATATACATATATATGTATATTCATATATATGCATATATATATATATATATATATTAGGTTCGCGGACTGATTTTTTTAAATTACTAGAATATTTATTAAAATACTAGAATATTTACTAGAAAATTTTTAATTAAAAGACGATGGTGACTCTAAAAGACGATGCTCTATTTCAAGAGGTCAAGCTCTTAATAAAGTTACTGTTGTATATATATTTTATACTGTTGTATATATACATACTGTTGTATATATATATATGTTGCATCTAATATATATATATATATATATACATGTATATATATATATATATATATATATATATATATATATATATATATATATATATATATTATATATATATATATATATACATATATATAATTATTAATATAATATTATGAAAATCGGACAATTCTATAGAAAGTTATTGCGTTTTTATTAGCAAATTTTCGATATATGGATTTATTGAAGAAACTGATTCCAAAATTTTTTTTTTTTTTACTAAAATTGTTATAACTTTGTCAAATTTTATCCAAATGTCTATACCTTGGTATCAAAAGATAGATGTAAGAGTAGGCTACAAGTTCATATAACTATATACCGGTGTACCGGAACACCCTCGTACCCTTATTTTTTTAAGGGTACGAGGGTGTACCGGAACACCCTCGTACCCTTAAAAAAATACAAGTTTTTCACACGAAAGAGTGTTTTTCTGATAAAATATGTCATCTTTATGCACTAAAAATTGTTCCAATTTGCTTCCAATCCATTTCCAAATATTAGAGGTCTATTTTAGATTGAAGGGTGGATGTCTTTGTTACGTTTTAACACCCTCGTAGTGAAATGCTACATTGTTATAAATATTTGAATCTAAAAACAATGATTATATTTTGTATGAAAAATTTTTAATTAAATTTTCTTACTTTACAGCATATACAAGTGGTGTATAAAATGACATAAGGGACGGGACATGTGCCACGCCAAACGCCCCTTTTCCTGCCCAGTCGTATCCAACCTAAAAAAAAAAAAATTAAAAGATATTTGAAAAATAGTTTTAAATTAAGTTTATTGGAAAAGAGAAACAAGTATTCAAGATTATTCTAATATGTTAGTACAGGTAGGGGTGTGTGCTACACCCAACGCCCCCTCCCCTTCTCATTTAAACTTGCATTAAATGTCAATAAAAATTTTTTAAATGTTTTTAAATTATGTTTATCTAAAGAGACATAACTTTTCTAATCTTCCCACATTTCAAAATGCAAGTTGGAGTATCCACCCTAAAAATAGGCCAAAGATAAAACTAATTTTAAAACTTATATTCTAAAAAGTTTCAAAATACAAAATATTATAAATTAAGTATATTATAATTAAGTTTTGGCTTTTAGTAAATGATATTGTTTAAAATTCCAAGATTAATAATATTATAAATAATGTAAAAAAATGTACTGAATTATATAAACCTAAAAAATATCAAATAATTTAAAAAACTCATACATACCTTCTTTAAACAAGTTACGATTACAAGAAACTGATATTTTAACCTCAATAATGCAAATATAATTTTTACAAACTGTAAACATAGGGTACAATAACTTAAAATCAAATTACTGTTAATTAAGTCAAACAAACATTTTAATTAACTAAAACAAAGTTTGCAAAATACACTTCACATTTACCAACATCTGAAATACTACACATAAATTTAAAATTACATTTGACGTGGGCTACAGAGTCTTAAAAAAAAACCTAATTCTATTGAAAGGTCCACATCTATCTATAGTGTAAACTTTACAAATTTATATAATACAACTTTTAAAAGTGTAAAAAGTATTTTATTGGGACTATTACAATGTTTTGCTTTTAAATTTTTTTGGGTAAAAATTTGAAAAAATATAAAGCAAATGTTGATGAATGTATTAATTGGGAAAAAACGGAAAATAAACTTGCAGAAATTAAATATATATTAAAAAAAAAAAGAAATAGTGGTGCCTATTAAATGTAATAATCTCCATGAACCACTAGGCTGCCACCATTCCTTCTTCTCCCTCTGCTTCCTCCACTTCCACGACCTCGACCACCTCCCCTTCTGCTGCGGCTCCCAGCACCCTTGTTAGGAGGATGATAGGGCCATTTAAAAGAATGATTGTCCCTTCCTCCTAACCGGACCCATCGCTTAAATGAACTATTGCTGTTGGGTCCAGGATGCTGGGACCTATATAATAGGTAGTCTTGATAGGTTAGCCCTAAATGACAATGATTCGTTAACAGATTAGTATTGAATGGCATTATGTAAAATTTAACATAAAACAATTAATTGCAAAAGTGATAGGCTGAATAAATAATATGAACAACGTATTAATCAATGATAACTTAAACGATATTAATGAGAGTAATAATTTCATTCTGCTGCACTTTGAGGGATAACACAACACTAATGCATTAAATAGTGTATATAAATATAAACATAAATTCAACAATCATTAAGAAACATTTTTAAATCATAAATTTACCAGCAGAAGGTTGAACACCTGGAACTAAAGATAAAAAAAGTTTCTATAAAAATTTGCAATTGATAAGAAAGGTGTGTAAATGTTTGCTAATAATAGTTTTTAAACTTACGAGTCATAGAAGCTGCAGAAGATGTAACTAAAGATTATCAAAGTTGTAATTAAAAATAAATACTGTAATTGTCAAGATATGCATTTACATATTAAAAAGTAGAAACTTGTAAACATACCACAAATAGCAGATGTAGAAGGAACTAAGGTTAAAAATGATTTAATAAAAAATTTATATTGCATTCATCAAGAATATATATACACATATTAAGAA